TGTAAAGACTTGGTCTTAAGACACTGTCATATGCCGCTTTAAAATCGACAAAAATATGATACATATCTATGTTAAACTCTTGCGCTTTTTCGAGGATCTGTCGTAGTGTAAAGATCTGGTTAATGGTTGAACGTCCAGGCCTGAATCCTGCCTGATATTCCCTAGAAACATTTCAGTATAAGGCTTTAATCTCTCGTGCAAAATATTTGATAATATCTTGTATGCTGTATTTAGGAGAGTTATTCCGCGGTAATTATTGCATTCCAGTTGGTTTCCCTTTTTGTGTAACGGGCAAATTAAGCCTAAGCTCCATTCTTCTGGCATTTGCTCCTCAGACCAAATTCTACAAACAATTTCTCGCATCACCTTGGTGAGCTGCTCCCCACCGTGCTTAAATAACTCTGCTGGGATGCCATCGCTACCTGGGGACCTATGGTTCCTTAGTTTTTCTATAGATATTTTTACTTCATCTACCGAGGGGGTTCCACGAGTTCCTCATTTCGGTATTCCAGCTCTATATTGTTAGTAGGTTCCCCTTCCAGCAACTCTCGAAAGTGCTCTACCCATCGTAAAAGGATGTCCTCTTTGTTGGTAAGTAAGTTGCCTTCCTTATCATTACAATAGTTGATTCTTGGTTTGAATTCTTTTCTAATACTATTTATTTGATGGTAGAACTTTCTTGTTTCTCCGTGACTCATATGGCTTTCGAGCCGTTCTAACATGTCATTTTCCGAGTCTCGTTTCTTTTTTCGGTGTATGCGTTTTTCCTCTCTCCTTAAGTTTTTGTATCTATCTATTGTTGTTCTAGTTTTTCGTTGTTGCATGGTCCTAAATGCCTCGTTCTTCTCATCTGTTATTTTTTTGCAGTCTTGGTCGAACCAGTCGTTTCTTTCTTGGGTTCGGGATATTCCCAATGTGCTTTCGGCTGCTAATTTCAGAGCCTCCTTGCAGTTGTTCCACATTTCCGTGCTTGACTGGTCGACTGCCCAGGTGTATTCTAGGGTTTCTTTTATATGTGACTGGAACTGTTTCTCCTTGTTTTCATTTTTTAGCATATGTAAATTATATTTTACTTGTCTAGTGTCCCTTTCTTTCTTGGCATTGGAAATTCTTTGTCGTAACTTGGCCCCTACATAAAATGATCTGAGTCAATATTTGCTCCTCTGTAACTTCTTACGTCCATTAGGTTTGTAAAGTGCCTTCTGTCAATTATAACATGGTCGATTTGATTTGTGGTGTGTCCATTTGGTGATATCCAAGTGGCTTTATGAATATTCTTGTGATTAAAACATGTACTTCCCACAATTAAATCTTTGGAAGCTGCCAGACTAATAAGCCATAAACCATTGTCATTAGTAACGTCGTGAAGTAGTAACGTCGATTATTCTCACAATAATCCCGTTAAATATTGACACATGACATGTAGTAACTACCTGCATAATTGTCGGAACTTAGCAGCCAATGCGGCGAATTAAATTGTAACAACAGTTCCGGTGTAATTTTTGAAATATGAGAATTATTTTGATACCCCATGGTACGATACAGTATTTTTTGACGAAAATTTGATTTGGTTCAACGTCGTATCTGTAGTTACTCTGTTATTATACAAATAATTCAATTTTTTTTATATTTACGGTATTATTTATTCAGAATCGTTCTTATTAATGCAGTTACAGCTACACCGACCATGTTCGCAGATAGAGCGTAAAAGGTTATCCAAGAAGAACACTGTAACTCAAAATCGCCAAAAATGTTAGTTACAACGTTATTCTATGCAGGGGTCGATATATCCCTGTCAAACTTCTTGTGTATACCAATATGGACCTCTGTAGTGTCGTACTTGTAAGCATGCCATTTTCCTGCAATATAAAATATTATAGTGGAGGATATATCCTTTTATTAAAAATATAATATCCTTTTCATTAAATTTGATTTTCTAAATTATTTTTGTCAGCTTATGATAATTAATTTGATTAAAAGCCGTTTTATAATCGATGAAACAAGCAAATACAGCCTTTCTTTGATCTGTCCATTTCTGCAGGAATAAATTTATGCTGACTATAGCTTTGTGTGGTCCAAAAACGTTTCCGAGTGCAAACTGTGAGTCGTCTAAATCTTATTCACATTTACTTATGATTTTGGAAGTAGAAATCGAAACGTCAAAAAAATATTTAAGTAAGTAAAATTGTAGATCATTGTCAATAAAATAGTAAATTGTGTAAAGATGTCACCAGAAAATTTCATAGAAAACACGATATTATCTTTATTGGAAAGTAATCTCTTACCCAATATATATTACGACCATGCTATTCGCAACCACATTAAATCATCATAAGTAAATCAGTCTATGTTATAACACCAGTGTATATATTGGTTATAAATTTTAAAAATATTCATTTGACCATGACATTGGTGCCGGCGCAACATCGATGTTCAGGTATTTATAACAAAGAGGTGTGGCAACCGGAGTAAAAAATAATGTAATATCTTAATCAGTGCTTCGAAATATTCACAGCAAGGATTTTCTACTGATAAAGAATACCAAAAGACAAAAAAGTTAAATTAAGTAATATAAACTTTAAGGGAGCTGATTTGACCGGATCTGATTTACGAACCACATAGTGTGTTTAATTTTAGCTTTGATAAATTCGCAATTTTATACTACATAGTATTTTCACCATAGTAAATCAACAAGTGACATACCTGTTTATTTAAGTTAGTATTATAAGAGTACGTAAAAGGTGAGTAAAAGGATATTAAATTAAATTGAATTAATATATTTATTTTGGAAATCGATCTAAATAAAATCATCCTTTCAACAAAACTCCGGACTAGATTTTTATCAACAACCCAACTTAAAACCAAAGCCGTACTTGGATATGATTATAATTATAATATAGTGTTTAAGTTAAATTAAATGATGAATAATAATTTATCATCAATGGAAATACCTACCACGTCTCAAAGCAATCCAATATACTCTGCTGGTGCATCTCAACAAACCGTTCCGAAATTTTCACTAAAAGAACAAGCTATTATCTTCAGTTTAATTATTGGCGCAAAATTGCAAGATTATCTGTTGCCAATAGGACCACTCGTTTAACCAAAAAATATTGTTTATTTGTCAATTATCTCGAATAATCGAGTAAGCGTTTATCTTTCCAGTAAATCTGTAGTTAAAGATTTGTTCAATAAAACAGGATCCATAAAAATAAATAATAAATAAAGTAATTCCAGCACGTAGACTAATCACCCCATCAGAAAGACTTCTTCTGTCTAACGTTAGTCCAACAATCAAGCTACATACAAATCCTAAATATAGCTAGATACTCGGTTTTAGACGACATACATAGAATCGCTAGATAATATAACCATGCCTAAATCTATCGTGGTCAGTCATGATAATATTAGCTACAAAGTATTTTTATCCAGCGATTTGATGGAGATGTTAAATCTGACATTTCCAACAAAGAAAAAATCAACAGAATCAACTAAAAGACATCTATCGCAAACCCCATATCTCACGGATAGACTGGATCTCACGAACGACGACCAGGATCAGGCCCAAGAAAAATCACGACGGTCAGAGAAGACCGTTCTTTACAACTCACTTCTTTGCAACATCAGTTCTTTACGGGTAGATCAATCTAAAAACCGTTAAAATGCTCACGGGTGGACTTTGAGCACTTCTAGCGTGAGAATAAGGTTGAGGAAACTTGATCTAAACGCTTGCTGTCCAGCAACAGGACCTTCGTTAACAGCAGCACATCAACAACGCCGCTACAGTTTGCTAGAGACCACGAACATTGAAGATAAATAGATCGGAAAAATGTTTTGTTTATTAATGAGTCTAGGATGGTTCTTTATGGCTCAGATGGTCGCATCAAAACATACAGAAGATATAGGAAACGATATGCTACTTGTGTACGACGAGTACGTGTTGCTTTTGGAGGAGGTCAGTCATGTTTTAGGCAGGCATTTCATTCGCGGGCCATACTGATCTCGTAGTTATTGATAGAGGAGCGTTGAGTGCACGCAGATACATTACCGAAATTCTAGACGAGCATGTAATGCCTTTTGCTGGGTTTGTCGGCGAAAACCTTATTTTTATGCAAGAAAACGCGCTGCCACACGTAGCCAGGACGGTAAAGCAATATGTGAAAACTGTCGGTATGCCAAAAATGAACTGGTCGGCTCAAAGTCCAGATTTGAACCCGATTAAACATGTTTAGGACCAACTCAAAGGAAGAGTAAAAAACAGAATACCTGCTCCAATAAATCGTGAGCAGCTTCGGTTGACGCTCATGGAAGAATGGAAAGCTGTTCCTCAAAACGACATCCAGAATTTGATCAATTCAATGCCAAATCGAATGGAGAGTGTAACTCACAATAGAGGTGATAATACACAGTAGTAATAATCATGACTTAATTGTAATTTTATAAACAAGACAGAAATAATGTACAATGTAATTTTTTTTTTTCAATAAAATCATTATTTTGAAAGAAGTTATTTTTTGATATTTGTTATTTAAAAAATGATTGCATACTGATTTAGACATTTTCTTAAACATTACAAAAACATCTAATGACAATCACTTGGTGGTTCGTAAAAATTTAAAAATGGCAAAAATTTTAGGTGGCCACTTATAAATAGTTTACTTATAAATGTCAAAAATATATAGGGATTATATACAATCATATGTGAGACTAGACCTTTTCATTTGCCAATAAGTAACATTCCTTAACACATAAGGACCTTTATAAAAATATTTTTGACAAGATCGTAAAAACATGACTAACAGCTGTTCTAGTATGGACGAGTTACTTTAAAGTATTACTATGCAAATTTTGATATATGTCATTGATTTGTCGTTGGTTTAAGTTAGGGAGTATATAGTGAGATAGGAGCTTAATTAATAGCCCACTGTCAGTCTATTGCTTTTTAATAATATATACAAAATGGATTACACAATAAATCAAGTAAAACAAAAAATAAATAATTAGACAAAAATCAACGAACATACTGAGTGCCTTAATGATGGTACAAGGGAGCGTGGGTGGGCAGCAGGAGCGGCTAGGAGTACTTTTCCGTGTCCATAAGCTGGAGCTGGGTGAACGGGATGTCCGGATTTTTCTACAACAGCGTTGAAACCATTGTGGTCGTCAGCGGTGTAGTGAACAGTACGGAGAGTACCGTCTGGTTCAGCTACGGTGTAGGAACCTTTCACTACGTCACCATCACGGACTTCGTGTTGGGTTTTGTGGTCTCCAGTGTGGCCGTCTTGAACTCCATAGTTGAATTCGTATTTTGGATGGGCCTAAAAAATAGTACAGAAACGGAATTGGTTTATTTCAACAAAAAAGTAAGTATCGAAAATATTAACAAAAAACTGTATATTGGTGAGTATAGTAGACAAATTACGAAATTAGTAACTACAGTAGATGAGGTATCACAAAGATAAAATAATTATCACTTAACATTCTTCAGGTATATATAACGTCCTCTGATACTGAACAGGTGTTTCAGTCACTAATGATGGAATAGTCATTCCAAAAATTGTCTATGATGTAGCCAGAAAGTGCTCTTATAAAGGATTTTTTAAATAAAATTTTTGTGATTTGTGACATACAGCTGACTACAGGAAATTAATTTTTCTTCTGGATGAATATACCTCTAGGTATTAATCAACTCCTATGCATGAATGAATTTTCCCTATTTGCAAGACTATTTCCAAGTCGAAATTGAAGTTTATTCAACTGTTGTTGAATGATTTAATGTTCTATGATTTATAAGTATCATTTTTAATATGTGTTGCTAAAAGTATACATAATAAAAGTACCTTGTTTTGTATATTTTTTTCTACTTTATCCTGTTTCTCAAATAGTCCCAAACCTTATTATCTCTTATCATTAACATATTTCTTTATATTTTGAATGTAAATAATATATAAAATACAAGAATATAACTGCTCTATTACTTACATAGTAGTCTACGTCATGGTGAGCAGATTTAACCAAAGCTGGAGCGGCATATGCGTGGTGAGCTACAGGTGCGGCATAAGCATGAGCTACTGGTGCTGAATACGCATGGGCTACAGGTGCTGAATATGCGTGAGCTACAGGTGCTGAGTAGGAGTGCGCTACAGGGGCGTGTCCATAGTCTAACAAACCTGCATTAGCCGCGGCTACGAAGGTAGCGATTGCAAGGATCTGTAATTAGAAAATTAGTTTATAAGTTTATATATTTAAAAATACCGTTTTGCCGGGGTTAAGGCAGGAAAATGTATGAAAGAATCAAAAATATAGTTACTAAACATATAGAAATTTGGTGTCATTTAAGGATAAACGGGTTTTCCAGTAAGAAAAAAACTTCCATTAAAGAAAAAAAATTGGTAGTACAATCTTTATAAGACAGCCCAGGCAAAAATGGAAAAAACGCATTAAAATTGTTCTAGTAATTACCAGACAAAATCGCTTAAAAACAAAAACTGCAAAAGTCCTGAATTATAAGATTGTGCAAAATAAAAATTTATTTATGTTTCTTTAAAATAAATATCCAAAAAGAACTGATTGCTCTTTAAGATGCTCTTAGTGTTTATGAGGTAGATTTTCAGTCAGGCAAAAAGGAGTATTCTTTTTCTGTGCCTCTACACACGTACTTTAGCCTATCCTATAATTATCTCTATAAAACACTCTTCTGTAGTTACTTAAGTTCCTACTTTGTGGTAAATAGTAAATAGTTGATAATGGTTAAATGAATGTTAAGGTAATGTATTTGCACAGCAGTTCTAATAATCCTATTTGTAGAAGTCAATTCTACCCATCAAAGACTAATATATTAAGTCGAAATTATTTTAAACTGCTGATTTACATTGTTAAAACCTAACTCAATAAGATTAATGCAACCATCTGATGTTGCTATTTGTATTTATTTTTATTCTCCATTGGCTCAAGATAAACATGCTTCAGTAGTAAAAAAATTATAGAGAACTAAGAAAATCCAAAAGAATGAATGGAACAGAATAATAGCAAATGAATTATATCTATAAAAACAACACTTATAATATATATATATATATATTATATATATATATATATATAATATATATATATATATATGTATGTATATATATATATATATATATATATATATATATATACAGATTAGAGTACATAAGATTATATTGCTAGAGTCAGTTTAAGGAAATTGAGGAACGATTATAGATATAAAAAAATATTATTTTGACATAGATATCAATATTAAGTTATCTACGAAAAGTTGATTCAAACACCTTCGAAATTAATACGCCAACGGAACATTTCCAAAACGCGATAGAAATTTTAAGACTTGGACATCTGAAAACACAAAACATCTGATTTAAAGACATCTGAAAAAGGGAAAACAGGGCAACCAAAAGAACCGCATAAAACTACAGCTAGAAGGGTTGATTGATATAAAACTAACCGTTGATAGAAAAAATAAATTTTTTTGAATTAAATCGATTTATTTTTCAACATGGTCCCCTTTTAGCTCGATACACTAAGTAAAAACGATGTTCCAATTTTTTTATCCCATCCGAATAGTACTTTTGCTCGAGCTCTTCACAATAGGCCAAAGTTTCTTCGGCTGTCCTTCGGATCGCGCCGTGTAATCGCCAAAAGCGTCTCCGAAGTGGTCACACGTTTTTGCATTTGATCGATTGTCAGCAAACGAGGCACTTATCACGGATAGCTTTTTCATGTCCAAATGATGGTGAATGATGTTGTGTACGCGTTCGTAGGAAATGTTTAGGACCTCACGGAGCTTAATTTTACGATCTGCCATAATCATGTCATGGACTTTGTTGATAATTTCCGGCGTAGTGACTTCATTTCGCCTCCCGGTACGCTCATCATTAAAAACACTCGTACGACTACGAACAAATTCAGCTTTCCAAAATTTTACTGTTGCTAACGAAGGTGTAACTTCACCATAAAACTTCGTCCAACGGGGTCACCTCGGGGTAAATGGAAAGGGTCTTGCCACCTTCTGTACCACCATGTGCTCTGTAGAGGGCTTCGGAAACGTCGACGAAAGCCCTCTACTTGAATCCATTTGCGGGGTATGGATTCGTAAATGTTTTCTTCTGGTATCTTGCCTTGAAAAAGGCAAGATATTTCTTACATGACAAAGGTAAAATCGAAATAAAAATACCAGGTTGCAGTAGAATAACATCTCAGCCACAGAGTATGGGAAAAAGCTAAAAAGAAAGCAGAGCCCCGAGAGCACTAAGCTCTCGGAGAGCCCGTGAAGGACTGAACTGATTGACCTGAAAATCGCCCATTTTTATACTTTCCGAAGTAGCGATTAGGGATTTCCAGGTCAGGGAGGGACCAACGGAAAAAATAAGGGGCGGGGCGATGCGTCTCGAACGTGAACTAGTCGCGTCCGAGAACATCCCCCCTCCTCTAGAGACTCTGTGGCTGGGAAAAAATTTATTGAAAATTCAAATATATTAAATTACAATAAAATACATGTGAATTAACACAAGAATACATAAAAATGTATGGAAAGTATGAGAAATACATGAAAATGTAAATAAAATTAAAAAATTGTCTTTAAGCAAACTCACTGCACAGCACTAATACGGAGGTCGGTGGTGTTGACGGCATTCATTTTACCCCTTTTGTGGAGGAACTTAATCACCGAACGATACTCGACTTTTTCCATTTTACAAACTAATTGTTTCAAAGCTTACAATTTTGAGAGACGTCATGTCATGAATGGCAAATGTCAACACCGAAAAAAATTCGGTGCCAAGTAGCGTCATCTATCAAAAACTAATTTAATATCAATCTATCCTCGTATTTAGGAAAAAACAACGAATTCACTAAGAAATAAAGAAAACAAACACGGAGACGGTTCTTACCGGCAAAAGCTCAGGGCCTTTCAATAGCCTTCCAAAAGCTGTTTCTCAAAGGAGTGTACGGTATTTAATTAGAATATGTTAGTCAAGAAAAAGAAATACACTACAAGAGGTATCTGCTAGGTGGAATAGAGAAAACTGAAATAAATATTTCCCTAGAATGCTGTCCGAAATATATTTACAAAAGTTCTCTTAGTTTGTATGTTATGTTTGATAGGTTTTTTTTGCGATATAAACGTTCTGTTTTTTGGTATATTTGTTACATTGTTACGATTGGGTTAAATCAAAACTTTCGTGGACCAAACATAACTCAGAGCAAGTTATCTATAGCGACGAAAGCAAATTTGATGTATGCGTGAAAGATTGTAGAAAGCGAGTGATTCGGGGAAAAAAGCATTCCATAAGGATTGTCAAGTTTTCATAGGGCATCTGGATGTGGTATTGTATGTCGGCAAGAGGGTTGAGAACTTTATATTTTATTGACGGAATAGTAAACGTAGCCAAATATCAAGATTTCCTTGAACATTTGTTTTTACCAAGTGCTGCAAAGTTATATCTATCTGGTTATTTTATCTCTTAGCAGGACGGAGCCTCATTTCATAGGCTCAATCTATCAAAAAATGGATGAAGGAAACATTAAAGTTTTGTCACATCCTTCTAGCATCCCCGATCTTAATACAATAGCGACACTTTGGCACAAAATGAAACAACGCCTAAGAAACAACATTAAGCGTATTTTGCCACAACTACGTGCTAAATTGCAAAAAATATGAGAAAATCAGGGATGAAACTATTACTGAATTCTGTAAAGGCCTAGGTGATACGATGCCTAATAAAATTCAGGTTGTTATTCAAGCCTAGGGTAATGTTAAGCCTTATACTTAGTTGTCAGCATTTTTGATTATCAAACAATTAAATAGTAATCTACATAAAATATATAATTAAATTTTAAAAATAATTCCATATATCATAAAAATTACTGCTTGTTCCAACATATAGGGGTCGTATGTGCATAAATTATTTGCTTATATTCTTGTTCTTATTGTGGCCCCCGAATTGTTTGCTAATTTTAGGCATCAATATGCCTAAAATATCATTTGTCGATAGCACATACAAATGGATTTATTAATAAAACTCAATATTTGAACGGAAGCAAATTAATGCAAAACCACAAGTTAAGATTTGTTATCCTTTTTTCGAATTCTATATTTAATTTAAAAAAATCAAAAATATTATAGATGGAAGTTTAGAAACAATCTTATAAGGTAGTTATATGTTTAAGATTTATCCGATGTCACACACAGCAGTATTACAATAAACGTATAATGCAAATTATCTATTTTGTAGGATTTACTCAACTGAAATGCATAAGATTACTGGAATAAATGTAAAAATTTAGATCTGTAGATAGGGAGTCATAATACAGATACAGAAAAACGTTAACAAAGAAAATACTGAATAGCAAACGAAATACTGCTACTAATGGAATGAAAATCGGAAGCAAAAATGAAAAAAGTGACGACATAAAAAAACACATCAAGGGAAATTAAACAGAAATAATTTCTGTAAAATTATGAAAAATGAGATTTGCAAATCAAACAAGACAGAGAGAATTACGCATAAAGGTGAATCTAACAGTAAGTAACTTTTAAACCTTTTTAAATACTAACTTTACGCGTCCATTGCATTTACGCCGCCAATTCCTTAACGACAAATTTACAATCCGAAATTCATCATCATCATATAACGGGGTCCTACGGCGATTGCCGCTTCCCGCATTTCAGCCTCCATCTTTTTCTATCTCCCCAATCTCCCTCTTCTAAGCCTCTAGATTGAATTGTTTTTGTAATTTCTCTTCTCCAGGAATTTTCTTCCCCTTTTCCTTCTTTCTGGCAGAACATACATTAAGGCTTTCTTTGGCCACCGCTCCTCCTCCATTCTCATCACGTGACCATACCATTGTAATTGCCTTCCTTGTATTCTATCTGAAAGAGTATCTCTAATTCCTGTACGGTTTCGTATTTCCTCATTCCTGATTCTTTCCATTCTCGATACTCGACATGACCTTCTAAGATAATCCATTTCCACAACGTCTACTTTATCTCGTTCATTCTTTGTCATCGTCCAACATTCGGCACCATATGTGGTAATTGGTTCTACAATTGCTCTGTATACGCGAAGTTTGGTATGCATCTTTATTTTATTAGACCACAATAATGAATTCAGTATTCGGATGCATTTTTTCCCTTGGGTTATTCGGTTTTGTACATCTATCTTAACTCTGCCATCTGCTGATATGATGCTTCCTAGATATTTATACTGGTTGCAGCCTTTTATGACTGCGTTTTCAAGCCTCAGATCTGTGGTATTTCCTCCAATTTTTAAATATTCTGTTTTGCTTATGTTTACAGTAAGCCCCCATTTGGCATATTCCTCAAATAATTTTCGATTCATATAATTTATATCTTCCTCATCGGTTGCAACCACCACCTGATCATCTGCAAACAACAATGTATACAGAGTTTCTTGTCCCACTTCGATGCCCATAAATCTACATTTATTTCTCCAATTCCTCAATGCTTCTTGGACGTATATTTTAAAGAGTGTCGGTGACAAACAGCATCCTTGCTTTAGGCCTTTAGTGACTTTAAATTCATTCGAGGTTCTGGTTCCAATTTTTACACAACTAACTGCATTTTCGTACAATTTATATATCGCTCGGATATACGTCGAATCCAATCCGGACCTTTTGAGGACCTCAAACATTTTCTTTAACGGGACACTATCATATGCTTTCTCAAGGTCTATAAATATCAAATGGGTCTCTCTACTTACAATCCGAATTATGTCCAAAAATTGTAAATACCTTTAAGATCTTCATGAACTATCAATTTTAGACCTCACACGTAGGTACGGAGAACTAAAAAAATCTATAGCTTTGGTAGAAAGCTATCTAAGTACGGTAAAATATAACGATATTTTCTATAAAAGACAAATTCTGCCCTATTACGGTGAAATCGCAAAAAGACTATTTTCTAGAAAGGTTGAAATATGATACTTAAACTCACATTTACTCCCAAATATATTTGATATAATTATTAAAGAAAAATGGACAAATTATCAGTACATTTTTATGGACGGGTTAAAAGATGCAAATGGAACGGGCTGTGCAATGTTCCACAAAAATAAAAATTAATATCACCAGTATAGCTTACCCACTACCCAGTGAATGCTCAATAGACACAGCAGAAATGTTTGCTATTCAGTATGTATTACTGAATCCGACTAGCAACTATGTTATATTTACTGATAGTAAAAGCGTGGTCAACAGATTTAACAACATTCAGTCAAACACATAAACCACATTAAACTGAAAATTCTTACAATTCTGTACGAAACTATACAATTTGGATTAAATGTAATAATTACATGGATCAAGGGCTATTCGGGAATAAAAGGCAATGAAATCGTTGTCAATTTGGCTACATCAGCATATGTGCTTGGAGAAAAAGTAAACAAAAATTTAATTCCATCCACAGATATTGACACCGTTAGTAGACAAAAACTTAAAAATAATTGGCATTTACATTACAAAAAATGTAAGACTGGCTTAAACTTGTATCATTGTAACCCTAGGATACCCTCAAGAAGATGGTTTTAGCAAGCAAATCATGATGTTACGCCATCTTACATGCATGGAGTCTACTTATCAAATACTCCCAATTGTACTTGTGGCAAAATAGGTGATATAACACATATTACATTAGAATGTCAAGTGGAGTCAAGCTCAATAACCTGCGGTATGCAGATGATAAAATAGTGTTTTCCAATACCATAGAAGGGCTGCAAAGCTTGATGAACAAAATAATGAAAACAAGTAGAAAATAAGAACTGGATATAAACATCAGCAAAACCAAGCTAATCATCAGCAAGGAAAACATAACTGGAGCAAATCTGTACATGAACCAAATGAGAATTGAACGTGTCTCACAATATAACTACTTGGGAACTATAATCAATGAGTAGTGGGACAATACCCAAAAATTAGGCTCCTTAAATGTTATGTGTACTCAGTGCTTCTGTACGGAGTAGAAACGTGGACATTGAAGGTGAAAACTCTATCAAAATTTCAGGTTTTTGAGCTGTGGCTATACATAAGGATCCTGAAGATACCATGGACAGACAAAGTCACCAATGAAGAAGTACTGCGGAAGACGAACACAACTGCGGATTTGGTCAACATCGTGAAGGGCCGTAAGCTACAGTACTTTAGACATATAATAAGAAATCAAGGCAGATACGAGCTACTCCAATGCATTTTGCAAGGTAAAACTGAAGGAAAAAAGGTCCCAGGACAAAGAAGAATATATGGAAGAAAATAGATATAAAACAAAAAACAATACAAAAAAAGCCAAAACACAAAAAAAGCAACAAAACAAAAAAAACAAGACTATTATAAAAAAATAAAAAAATAAAATAAAATATATCAAAACAAAATTTATGTATCCATAAAAATATTGGTATATGTAGTACTAACATTGAGAACTGATAACAAGAAAATTTTGACTATGAATCTGCAATCAATAATATTTAATATTCAGTTGATTTCAACAATAAACAAAAACAAAGTCTGGCTAATTGGCTCTGCCAAAGCAATCTTTCAGAAAAAAAAAATGATTTTTTTATAATTAAAAATTAAATTTGATTTAAATGACAGAAATGTTTTTTTTTAATTATTTACGTTAAATTATTCTAGAAAATAGAATAAACAAAGGTTTATTTATAAAATATATGTAATTTATATATTTTAATTATATTAAAATATAAAGTTTAAAATTGAAAAAACCATATTTTCAATTTAAACTTCCATTTTTTTTTTCATCTTCTGATTTGAAAATCTTTTCACTGGATATCGAAAAATATTATAAAGGATTTTAAACTTTAATTTGTTATTTGGGTAATAAAATTATTTAAACGTTAAAATGCCACAAGAAAAGCGCTACAGAAACATATTAATTAAATAAATTTTAAACAACATAACTAGATAAAATATATTTATGAAATACTAAATAAAAAGGCAAATAGAAAATGAGCAACACTTAAAAACAAATTGAAAATATTTAAATAATTTGATAGAATGCAACATTAATTACAAATAATCCCAACAGTCAACTTATTTAAAAAACGTACTAAAACCAAACATCGGTAATGATGTTTATAAACTACAACAAAAAATTAATCACTTCACAATACCGCGTTTCGTTTACATCGATTGCAAAACAAATCCCACAACACCAACCTGTACAGCAATTAAGAAACAAATGCAATACTTGCCTTTGAGAAACATGTTAATGTGTATAATGTTAATACTGAGACAATACTAATCTGAAAATGATTATTGTGTCTTTTATATACCGCTATTGCCAAAGATAGGAGTAGCTGGGACCATTAGAGATTATGCTGCCAAAATATTAGAATCGACCTTATGACGAAATAAAAGAATGTGACCTAGTTAGGAATAAGTACTAAGGTAAGTATTAATGGTAGATCACGCGATATAATCAATTGATCATTATTATTTTGAGGAAATCAAGGGCACTATATATTTAATATTTTTGCAGAATGGGAAGCCGATTTTACAAGGAAATAATTAAGTTTGATTGATTCTTTAACACTCATCTAAAGACAAGGCCATAGAACACCAATTTACAAAATTAATGATTATTGCTTGTATGGTTATAATTTCTTGTTTTGTATACAAATTTCATTGTCTTAACAATGATTTATTTCACTTCCTTTTACGTTATTTCTTAAAGTAATATTGCGTCAATAATTTTCTCTATTATTATTAGTCTGATCACTAAAATCAGTAGATTCATGTAACCTCCCCTCTGGACTACAGCAATGGTAGTAAGTTTTGGACAAATTTAAACAAAATATTTGTCTATTAACCCTTTCCAGCCCAAATCATTTTTTAAATAAATTTTGTTGAAAAAAATGTTTGTTATAGGAAACGGTACAAGAAAAAGTAATTGTTGATAACTTTTGTAAAAATTTTAATAATAATAGAGTCTTCAAACTCAAAAAAATTGATCCCAGTTAGAATCATCTGGCGTTGGTGGTACTTGAATTTTCCATTTATAACACTTGGTATAGTGGTCTGGTAAAACAATTGAATATAATAAGAAATACGTTTATTATTGCATTTATACTACTAACAATTTAATTGTGTACATGGAAACTATAAAAACAATTTTTATTATTGTTTGAACATAAAAAAACACACGGGATGGCACCTAAATGGCATATGTTTTTTCAAAAGCTAAAATAACCAACATATTACAGTTGGGATGATATGTTATTAAAGTAAAAGAAGATATTTCGTGCTAAAATTTAAATCGCACATGTGTAGAATTTAAAAAAAAAAAAAGTTTTTATTGTTAAACTTACCAAAATCGCCCCTTTTACATTAGATCATGCTTAAAAATTTAATATTTTCTTCATCTCTACAGCATTAAAGTATTTTGCGGTAAGGAGATTATAAAATAGATTCAAAGACCTTCAATTTGCAATTAGATAAAAGTTTCAAGCACATATAGAGCCAAAAATAAGGCATGTTAATTTTTTTTTATTTTCGAGTTATACGCCAATTTTATCCGATTTTTATTAAAACAGTAAATCAATCAATATTGTAATACTTATATGATAAAAGTATTTTTTATATATCAATGTATTCACTATCAAGAATGTTTATTTTGATACAATAATTTATTTATCTATATTTTTTATAATGTTTGTGTTACGAATTGAAGTTACATTTTTCACCACTTTCCCAATAATGTCATTTGGAGACCTCCACAAATGGCCTAATGATTCTATTTGAAATCATTGATATTTATAATGTTTACATAAACGATTTGGTTAAATGTGGGTAAACTATAATCCAAATTATCAAATAAAAACAATATAAGAAACAAAATTTAATTTTTTTCGTACAATTACTTGTTCAATTACTCACCTTAGAATGATTTTTAAAAATTAACAGTGAATTGATGAACGTTGTTTCATTACGAAGCTTTATAGGGTTCCCCACAACAACCGACGCGAAACTTTTGCGACGCGAAACCGTTGCGGAACATTCGCAGGCGGAGCACTATTAAATTCATTATATATAATATATAATGAAAACTTACCATTTTCCTCCTAGAAATGACCCTATATTATCCCAGACTTTATCCTTTTTTCTTATATTTTTATAATCTTCGTCACTTAAATCATAAATTATATAGGATATTGTTTCAACAATTTCAATTAGTTTTTTCTGTAACAGCCTTTTAATAATTCACGCGAAACTATAACTTGCTATAACTGCAGCGGAAAAAACCGTGCATGCAGCGTTTCATGAAACGTCAACGCTGTTCTGCCGCGACCGTTCCGGTTTCCGTCCGAACTTGTCTGAACACATGCATTAAGTCGCCGTGCCTTAACGATTCGCCGCGATTTCCGCTGCGAAAGTTTCGCGTCGGTTTGGGGAATCCTTTACATTGAAATGTGATAACACTGATGGCTCCTCTACATATCGGCAGACGCGTCAGCGGACTACATCTACGTATGCATCTGGAGATGTGTAGATGGGCTAATTTGATCATCTGTTGTTTATATATCCACGTCCGCGGATGCGTCTGCAAGATATTCGATTGTTGTCGGTTTTTTTGAGCACGGATCAAAGGGTTTCGGTGCGAACGTCTGACTCCTTTTCCATTTTTTTAATGCTGGGATAGATATTGCGTTTTTTTGGTTATTAAAAACCAAAAAATACCTTTAAAATTAAGAACGAAGGTATTTAATGCATGCCTCCTACCTGTTCTGACATATGGTGTCCAGACGTGGACATGTACCAAGAGCAACTTAGAATAAAGAAAACTCAAAGAGCTATGGAGGAGAAATGTTGGGAATATCGTTGAGAGATAAAAAGAGGAACGAGTGGATAAGATGCAAAAACCGAAACAACAGACGCTGTCGAACATGCAGTGAAATTAAAATGGAAATGGGCTGGGCAATAACGAAAGATATCAGGATGGAAGATGGAATAAAGAAATGGCCGCTGGAGACTATATACTGCAAAAAGGTTAAGAGGTCGACCGCAAATGAGATGGAAAGATGACATTGAGCAAAGCTCAGGTTCAATGTGGAAAATACAAACAGAAGACAGAGACAAATGGAGACAAATGGGAGAGGCCTATATTCAACACATGAATATATTTCGGCCTATAGATAGATAGATAGATAGATAGATATTGCGTCTCCCGCTAATTACCACAGACTGAACGATTACAGATGTGTCCAGATGTGTGGTCAGCTTGTGCTGATACATCTGCAGATGCATCCGCAGACGCGTCTGCCGATGTGTAATGGAGGCATGATAGATTTGTCAAATAAATAAATGTAGCGTAATTTAGTAAAAGGTTGAGGCAACACAATACCGCCCGCCAAATCGACATCCTGTGCAATCCTTTGCTGCTAAGGCAGAAAACATTGCTATGACCCCAAATGGGATAATCTGGACTGGAAAGGGTTAAGAATAAAACACTAAAGTATCTAAAACTACACCCCAGTCTACACTCTATTCTCCTAATGACCATATCTTTGATCAAACATTAAATCCATTAGGATCGGAATTATTTTTTTAAAATCAGCTTTTTTATGTAGGTACAGTTGCGGTCACGGAATAGTTTACAGGTTCACGTATCTAGGAGCCCATTTTTTAAATTTTTACTTCGTTTAAAACGCACCTTTTACGTCAAAGTGACGTTGCCAGTGGTGTACTAGCTAGAATAGGTAGATTAAAATTAAAATATCAAAATATTTTACAAAATGAAAAATATAGAAAACAGTTTTTTGAATAAAATGGATTATGATCTTAATAACGAAAATAAAGAAGTCTTTTTTTTTAATATGCATTTTATTTTAAATCTATTTTATATTAAATAACGATAAACAATGATAAATAATAATTAATATTTGGTGGAAGCCCCATTCTTGTCAATACAATTTTGCAGTCTTCTGTTCATAGATAGCACCAATCCCCTCATGTTATAGTTAACAAGCTCTTCCCATGCCTGCTCAATTGCTTCCCATAATTCAATTCTATTCCGTGGTCTAAGGTTTCTTTCATTTAGTTTCTTTGTTAACTCTGCCCACACATTTTCGACGGGGTTAAAGTCTGCACTACGGGAAGGCCACGGAAGAACATTAACATCAGTTTCTTCTAGCCATTCTCGAACAATTCTACTCGTATGCACCGGGCAATTGTCATGTTGGAAGATAAAGTCGTTGTTGGGGAATCTCTGGATCACCGATGGCAACATTGTGTGCTCAATAATATGTTTGTAATATAATCCTGTTAACTTCTCCTCTACATGATAACAAACGCCCGGGCCTTCGGCACTTATCCATCCCCATACGTTGACAGAGAATCCTCCACTATTTCTTAAATGATGCGTATACTGTTCATCATACCTATGATTTCTCGGCCTATAAACTCTTATTCGACCATTATTATACGACTGAAATACTTTTTCATCGGAAAATACAACCCTAGACCAAAAATTCTCATCGCGGTTTATAAATTCATTACAAAATTCAACTCGTCTCCTCTTGTGATCCTCAGTCAAAAAAGGTTTCCGTGCAGCTACACAATTTAGCAGTCCACTTGCTTTAATTCTTCGACGTGCAGTGCGAATACTGCCTGGAAACGCTGCCTCTTCTCTTGCCTTTTGAGCTGTGGCAAAAGGAGATTCTCTCAAATAATCTACTAACATCTCATCCTGTTGATCTGTGGAAATCTTCTGCCCTCCTGAACCGCCCAACCGTGCTATAGAGTGAAAATTATCCCATCTTTGTTTAATCTTCCATATGCACATATGACTCACGTTCAAATCAGCAGCAACTTGCCTTAGTGACCAACCTTCTTCGAGTTTGGCAATTGCTCTTGCTTTTTGCGCATAATTCAAATGTATTCTAACCATTTTGGAAGAGTTTAATATACTTTTATTTTATTGTTGAACACTCGCGAAAGCATTGACGTTTTGAAATTTTTTGACTTTGACATTTATCAAATCCGTACGACACTGCAATTTTACAGTATTACAATATAAAAAGTAAGGTGTAAACTATTCCGTGACCGCAACTGTACATCATAAGTATATTATACAGTAATAATATTATTAAGTTTATTCAAATCAATAGTTATTACATTAATTTACAATTTCAGTTTACTTTAGAATAAAATAAACGTAAAAAAAAGTCTTAAGAGCATAAACATGATTGTTGACTTAATCGTTCCTT